GCGTTAGTTTACGATCAATTTGATCTTTTTAGCGCTTCAGCGTTAGTGTACGATCAATTTGATCTTTTTAGCGCTTCAGCGTTAGTTTACGATCAATTTGATCTTTTTAGCGGTTCAGCGTTAGTTTACGATCAATTTGATCTTTTTAGCGCTTCAGCGTTAGTTTACGATCAATTTGATCTTTTTAGCGGTTTAGCGTTAGCGAAGCTACTTTTTTAAGTTGCCGAATTAGAAAATCTAACTTTTTGTTTAGCTGTGCCCACCACTGATTAATGATAACAAACTTAATATTTATTGCACACACTTCCAACTGTTTTTGAAACCTTGAACTCAATAAAATTAAAAAAAAGAAGTCTAAATTATAATAAATATAAGTCTGTAGAAAACAAAACAGACCATCTTCATCGCTGCTGTCTGGTTCTGGTCGTTTGATCCGTCGCCTCTTTTTCTTCTCCATTTTCTCCTCCTCACCATCAGATTCTTCAATACGTTTAGTTTTGCTTTTATCCAAGAAGAAAACACACGTTACGTCACAAACGATCCACCTTTGATCGCCATCAAAGTGTTTACATCACTCTGACTTCTGTGCCGTTTTGAGGGCAACAGATCCTGGTTTGATTATCTACGGGACTATTTGGTTTCTATCTTTCAAGTTCAACCTCTGATCTTCAACACACACCTCCTGGAGTCTGTCTTGACGTCTTTTGGCTGCTGCTCGGCTGCAGGTTCTGGCTCTTCCTTCTGTTGGGAACTCTGTTTGTGCTCAGCTGTGACGGACGACTGAGCCTCCCGCTCCTCCTTTATGGGTTTTTCAGGTTTCTCTAGAGAAGCGACAAACATTAATATAAAAAAAACAAGAGAACGACGATCCTGCTTAAACTGTAAAATTGGTTTCTTTCTTATTTCATTCAATAAACAGAACTGAGAAGTTAATATCCGTCCTTTATTTGAACAGAATAGAGAAGATCTGACTTAGACTGGTGAATTTAGCAACTTTTAATAATAAAGTCAATTAAAAGTCGGTTCATGTTTTTTTTAATTATCTTTCTTTACACGCTACTAAAATTTAACTCACTTGTTTGATTCCCAAAGAAGTTCGCTATCGGATTGGCCTTTACAGATGGTTTACTTTTAGGAGGATCCATCTGAAAAACAAAAGACAGTGACCCCTCTGCTGTTCTGCAAACCGTTTACTTATCACCCTGAGACAACAGTCGTACCACAGGAACATCTTCTTTCTGTTCAGGTTTAACATCTTTGCTGCCGTCTTGATTCTTCGATGTAGATTTATTTGAAAACAGTCCCATGATGCCTTTTGGTGGCTTGCTTGTTGGTTTGGAAGTCACACCTTTGTCCCCATTGAAGGCGGATGTTTTGTTTTCAGGCACAGATGTCGATGCTTGCACCTTTTCCCGCGCCTGCTGCAGCTCCATGGAGGACATGGGTACTGCGCTGGAGCACCGTATGGCACTGTATCTACAAAGAAGAAGAACCGACCGTCAGCTGAACACGTTAAAAGAAAACGGACCCTTCGGCTGCTGTAAAAGCCGACATACTTGCTGCAGTTCTTTAGATTGTCTTTCACAACATCATAGTCAACACCGTAGAGGGGGCCGCTGTCTCTCAGTAACGCTTTCTGCACGCTGTAGACATGAACGCTCGCTACCAGAGACATCTTTAATTTAAAATCTGCAGAGAAAAGCAAACAGCACAATTTACACAGTTTTCTTGTGTAAACAAAGCATTAGGACACAAAGAGATACAAATGCTTCATATAACACTTGATAATAGGGCTTATTTACAAACTAGTAGGAACTAATTAAACTGATATCAATCAAACGGTGAAAAATAAATACTCTGTTGTGATGTGGGAAATATTTGCAAACCTTCCAGCTGCTCTTCTCTGACAACTGACACTTTGTGACACTAAAAAAACAAAACAGAATGAAAGTTAGCAACAATAAAATTACCTCAACTTTTTAAGAGTTTAGAAAGACCCAAGTCTCCACCAGAGTTTCTCATTACTCACGGTTTGACCGTTGTCCACAGATTTCCCTGACACAAGATAAGTAGCGTGGAGCTGAGGTGAGCTCTCGTTTCGCTTGTGCTCCAAGTAATGGTAAAGCATTCTGGAAAACAACAAACTTATATAAAAGACTATAGCCTATTTTCTTTTGAATACGTTTTTAAAGCAGATCATCTGCGTGTTTGATGCTGACGATAGTGGAGCTTCTCTTCTTCACACCTTTTTCCTTCACGTAGTATTTTATAAATGCCGTCATAGCAGACTATGTTTACATTATTACTGCATAAAACAAGGTTGTATCTAGTCTTTAAACTGGAGTTGAATTTAACTCACTGTTATTCTTTATTAAAATGCATACAACAAAACTGACACCAGTAAACAAAAAACTGCAGGACCCTCTGCCATGTCAAAACATTTAATTGCGATTAATAAATATTTTAATTGTATGACTTTAAACTAATATTTTCCAAGGAAAAAAAAAAACAATCGTTTAAAATGTCCTTGTTTTTAATTTAGCCATAGATCTTCAGCTTTTTCTTTTTGGCTTGAAGAAAAAGCAGAACAACTTACTGTTTAGCTGTGTTGACATGGACTCCGAGTGTTTGGCTCAGCCATTTATAAGTTACCTGAAAAATAAAAAAGTTTAGATACAAAAGTGTCTGTAAAATTAATTCTAGTTTATTCTGCGCTTCTTAGCCAATATTTTGCTTCGATCAGAGTATAGATCTTATTGAAATACACATTCACTCTTTTCCTGTTTTAACTAAACTCCTCTTTAGACTTGCTTACCCTTAACTTTGCTGTATGTATTTTATATTCTTTATGCATTTTATATTCTTTATGCATTTTATATTCTTTATGTAATTTATTCCTGTTGATCTTTGTTCTTACTGTAAAGTGTCCTTGGGTGTCATGAAAGGCGCTTTTTAAATAAAATGATTATTATTATTAACTTAGCGGTTAGTTATAACTTAAAAACAGGACTTCTTAATAAGTTGAGGCTAAATACACAATATAATTTAGAGCCGAATAAAGCAAACAAAATCCCAAATATAAAAGTAAATATTAAAATATCCAGTTCTTAACATAATTATATTGGTGAAAGCAAGATTATGTTTAACTGCGAGATTTTTCTACGAAAATTCGCTGCTAGTCACCTCAAGCTAGCTCATGCGCTCACATCTTAAACCGCAAGTAAAACAAAAATAAACTAAACATCAAGAATCAAAAGCCTGCGTACGATCTTGTTGTGGTCGTTGACAAACTCGTCAATATTGTCCAAATATAGCTCGTCCATTTTCCTCGGATTTTTTTTTTTTAAACCGAGATAGCTCGCCGAATCGATTTGACTGCGCGGGAACGCAGTTTATTTACTTCCTGTTAGGTGTCACGTGACCGCATGTTGTTCCGGTGTGAAAAGACGCTGCATGCTGCCATCTACAGGCCAAAATGGGACACAACAGCCAGTTACTGATGAACGTACACAAACATCGGAAATAAATAAATAAATAAATAAATAAAGTGGAATGATGTCAAAGCAGCCATTAAATTATCATTCGGGAATTTTTTTCTTAAATGCATAACAGCCAAAAAATGGTTAAATGTCTCAATTCATACTTTAAGCAGACAATCTTATGACATTAAAGATCAATTATTTCAAAATGCTATGCACAAGTTGTGTCACTTCTCAGAAATTGGGCTGGTGGTAAAATAACACAACCTGCACTTTGTTTTACATCCCTGGACTTTTGATAAAAAACTTACACACTCTACAAACAACATTAGAAGTTTACCACTTCACAGATTAATCTTCTGGAATTACTTTTTGTGTCAGAGACTCTTTAGACAGTCCATGAGCAATGCTTGCATTTTTATCATTCCTTGCATGCACCACATGTGGTGCGAATGACAAATAAAAAACTTTGACTTTGATACAAAATTTGTTTTAAAAAGGTAACACTGTGCAGGATTTTCAGTGCAGCTGAACTTTTCTGCGTCAGTGCTAAAATGAAATAAATTTAATTGCTAAAGCGTTAACATCTACGTTTCCAAAGTAACAAAAATACCAGAACAAAATCCTTGTGAGGTCATTTTCGAAGGTGTTTAAACTTTTTAAGCATCAGTGTCAGCACAGATACACAGGATAAAACTCTCTCTCTGTAGTTAAAAATGTAAATTAGCTGATTTGTGTCAGTCAACTGGTGCAACTTTAAACTCAACACAACAGAACAAATTCAAAGTGTGAGACCATCTATAAGAGAAATACATGAAATGCAAAGCAGTGGTTTATTAGATGTATGTGAAAAGCAACGTGAACGGCAGGTCTCCAGGTGTCACAATCACTCTCCTTGTTATTAGAACGTGTTTCAGCGAGACCTCACAGTTCAGGCAGGAGGCCAAGAATTGATTTGCAGAAAATAGAACAACCTTTTGAGTCTTCATCATAAAAAAGAGGAATAACAACTGCCCTTTGATCGCCTGGGGGTTGAGCTCATGCCTTTTGCCTCAGGGTGGTGCTGGTGGTGGTGTGTGTGTGTGTGTGTGTGTGTGGGGGGGGGGGGTCTGTATGTTATTTCTGCAATAAATGAATTTTCTCTCAAATGAAAGCAGAATTTCAATAAAAACGCTGTCAATCTTTCCACAGTGTTGACTGTCACGACGCAAGCTCACACGCAGAAGCAGAAGGATAAAAAGATGCAGGTTAAGAACATTGAGGGATTTTTAAACAACCTGCAAACTGGATGAAGAGAAGCCAAAATAACACTTAATTTAATAACCTGCAGATGTACGACTACATCACATATTAAGATGAGCTCAACCCCAGACCTCCTGAACCTGGACTTATTTCCAGGTGTTCCTTTTTTTTTTTTTTTTGGTGCATTTCTTTTAAACAAGGTGTAGTACACTGGTTCAGACATTTTCACAGTTTGATGGTGCATGCGGCCGCTGGACTTGTAACATCAGATCTCCTTCTATGCACAGTAATGTTTTAGGTCATGTAATATGAAAGGAAGTCCACCTGGAGGTGCTTGGCATGTGTGTGTGAACCACTGTACAGATTTAGATTTCACTTTTAGAAAGCAACTATATGATGTTCAACTACAACCGATTATCTTTTGGCATCTTTTGGCTGTCGCAGATAACCAACTTTAACAAACACAAAAAAACGCTTTAACTTTGTCGGTGAGTTAAAATTTGGTGTGGTGGTAGCGGAGCATCATTCACAAAACATAATCCAAGCGCTAGAAGACCACACAAAGTTTTGCATTATCACATAAGACATAATGTCATTTTAAGGTTTATCCAAGATGGCTGAACAGTAACTCTGTCGTGTCTCATTATAAGAAACGTGGCAGTAACATGCACACATTTAAGCACTGCTAGACCTGTAATTTCAGATGAACGATATAGACGTTTGTTAGAACGATGACAGGTTTCCCACAGTAAAAGCACACAACTTGCACATAAGGAAAGCAGACATGATGTTTCTGCATGACAGAGCTGCTGACGTGAACTCTGAACACCTTGATCAGCCTCACTGAAGACGTGTTTCTGATCCACCTCTGACTTTCAGGTACACCTGCTGCTACATCTGGACCTACCATTCTGTGCTCGTTTGCCTCTCCTTCCTGTTCCTCTCAAACCCAGCTGGTCAAAGCAGATGGCTGCTTGTCCTGAGCCTGGTTCTGCTGGAGGTTTCTTCCTGTTAAAAGGGAGTTTTTCCTTTCCACTGTTGCCACTGTGCTTGCTCAGGATGGGAGACTGTGACAAAGTGAAGATTCAATAAGTCTGCTGTTTCCTTAGATAGAGAACTTTACTAATTGGCTTCTATATAAATGTAAATGTTCCTGTAAAGTGCCCTGAGACAACTTTATTATTTGGTGCTATATAAATAAACTGACTGTCTGAGCTGATGTTGGATCTCGGCTGCTGGGAGCCAGAGCATCTCTCTGCTGTGATGCTGGTCCGGCTGCGTCTCCACTTCCAAGAGAAATGTTAAAGAGGAGGGCAGCGACGTGCAGCAGAGGAGGGAAAAATATTCCCCTAATGATGGCAAGACACAAAAAGAATGTTTGACCTTGAAGGTGGGAGCAAACCGGGACCCTCAGGTGGATCTGACTGTTTAAATCATGACTCAGTCTCGAGTCAGCAAATCTGAGCTCATGGACTCAGTGCAGCCATTTTTGTGTTGGTTCATTAAGTGATGGAAACTAAAACCTTGTTTGGGAATATCGCAGCCTTCGTCACAGACAGCTCTTCTTCAGCTCAAACATCGTGTGCCGTGAGAACAACGCTCCAGCTAGTGTTTATGAAAACGAATTAGATTGTTCACGTGTGCTCTGAAGCGTCGTGGGGTTCCCGGCATGAAACGGGTTCAGATCTTTTGAAGCAGACACCCGCAGCAGGTGGTGCAGCGTGTTTGTTTGCTTCCTGTCTGATCTCTACATCTTATTTCACATCTGTCTGCGTCCCCGAGAGCAGCGAGGGGGCGTGTGGCATCTGTCAGACATTTTAGGTGTTTAGATTTAAACAGATAAAACTTCTCCTCTGAGCTACCAGGTGGTTTTAATCAGAAAACCATCCAGCTGTTTGTCTGCTGAATGGGAAAGGCCTCTGAAACGAGGCGGCTCGAGGGCCGTCTGATGCGTTCACTTCTCTGAGACGAGATATCTTCTGTAAGTCTGAAGCATCAGAGCAGCCGAAATGTGGTCTCAAAAGACAGCGGCGGAAAATGTTGCCAGGTTTTATTTATTTATTTATTTATTTTTGCAGCTGAATGACAGAAGCTTTTTTTGTTCCCATTTGCCTTCGTACTCTGAGATATCCATCATCAAGGTTTAATCCAGCCATCAAAGATCTCATCAGTTGTGTTTCTGCTGCTGCTTTCACATAAAAAAAACTGGCTTTGTATTTCTCTTTAATGCCTTTTTGGGTCTAATCTCCCTTTTTAAAGTTGTGCTCCTCTGCAGCCCTTTGATGTTTACACAGAAAACGAGACTCCTGCACTGAAAAGGTTATTTTTAGATTTTGGATCTGATAGGTCAGAACACAGGAGATAAGATGCAATAAAAAACATGAAAAGGTTTAAACTCTACATTTCAGCCGGCTTTCTGTGATAATAGCAAAAAAGATCAATTGAAAATGGGGGAAGTGATGCAGCCTGAAATGAATTAAACATTTATTTTGGATGATTTTTAAAGTCATCTTCAGGTGTGTGAGGTGAGGAGGTGGCAGGACTTAAGACTGAAATAAATAGATCAAGAGAAATTAACGTGGCACAAAACACCGTGAGAGGATTGGTCTGAAGGCGAGCCGGGATTTTCTCTTGTTTCAAACGTTTCAACACATTAAAGACTGATGAGTTAAAGATCTACAGTTTTAACTCAACAGGGTCGGATCATCAGTTCTACCCAACACATTGGGCTCTGTTGCCCAGAAAAAGGAGTTAAAATGACGTCCACGTTAAAGAAGAGCTATGAAGTTGAGTCTAAAATATAAACACAAAAATTGGCGTTGTTCGATAATTTTCATTGGATTGGTGCCAGAGGTCTGGTGAACATTTGTGATTCTGGAGCAGTTCTTTTAGGAACCCAAACCAACGGCTGAGTGCAAATTAAAACCAGGATAAACATCTACAAGCTGCAATTACAATCTAAGCTTTACTTCATCCATCCATACATCCATCTGCCCATCCGTCCTTCCATCCATCCATCCATCCATCCATCCAT